GAATATAGAAGAAACTTTCAAGAAGGAATTCCTGTTTCTTCTAAATTCATACTGATGTGAAAACCTCACATACCTTTAACAAAAAGCATTTTTAAGATCAGCAATGAAACTGCTGAATTAATTTTGGTATACTAACACTTTTACCTATAAGTGTACTTCATCTAAAGCCATATAGGTATTATACATTATGCCACAGTTCCAAAATGTGTTGGTCAACATTGGCTTAAAGACTAAAATTAAGTAGCCAATAAGACCAGCAAGACCAATACAGATCACCAGACTTCAGACTTTGAGGTGATGAAATTAAATGCAGAAGTGACAAAATGTGCAAATTAAATGAACAAAGACATGAAATGAGATCATAAATAAAATGAAGTTTTAAAGAAATAAAATGTGATGGGGCACAAAAAAAATGATGAGAATATGATCGCTAAGGAACTATTCCAAATGTACTATGCACATGCTCAAGTTCACAATCAACTATCTCTTATCACTCACAGAATGTTATGCCATCACTTCATAGAGAACTTTAACACTTTGCTTAAACTAACTTAACATGAAATAATTTAATACATTTACAATTATCACATTGTTGTAATATTCATCAATTACTACAGCTCCTCTATAGTTGATGTCCCTTCATTACTCTGTACACAGAATGCAGATGATGTAATTATGAAAAATATTGAAGACATCGCTGAGCTATAATTTGCAACGGCAAGTACAGAACGTGTGAAAGAAAATAAAACTTTTGCACCTAATTGCAAGAATAAATGGACTATGAGCATTCTGTGTAAACATTTCACCAAGAATTTGGGACTAGATGTCATACACTCTGAGCTTCTCCCATTGCTCTGCTTATCCAGAAAACAAAATCCAACAATAATGTATACAGTCTACCACACAGAATACATATTGAAGTGTCTACTGACAACTCCTTCAAGCGTAATTGTGAGAAGAACTCTCTACCAATGCTGGTATCAAGTAATCAAACCCATCCTAAAATCAAATTAGAATTGACATTGAATTTAAAACTTTAAAAAATGATAATGGTACACAAATTTTAGTAAGTTTTTTGCAGTATTAAACTGTCAAAATGTATAATAAACAACAGACAGCTACAACACTGAACACGGAAAGCAGCTGTACTTCACTACCGTAATTAATTACTTTGAATCGCCAATGTTTAAGTATATGTATATAGATTGACATTTTTGCAATTAATGGTACTAAACCAGTACCATCATTTGATACTAATTGAAAGCAATAATTGAATAAATGACTCCAATTTTTATAAAATGGAGATGTTCAAATACAGGTTCAACCTGAGTATCTTCATTCAAATTTACACAGCAAGGTGGATGTGACCATAGCCATTCTTAGCTGAGCGGCATGACCCCTATTCTCATTGCTGAGAGTAGACACTCACAGAATTTAGGAGCAGTTTTAAAATCTTGTTTTCGTGCTCTGGACAGCAGCCTCCGTCTTCATCTAATCAGCATCGTAGAACTGAAGGATAGCACGACCCTGGATCTCCGAATTGCACAATTTCTCCATAACTTTGCAGGCTTCCTCTGCAGGGAAGACAGTGTGAGGTGGAGGTTCAATCTAGAAAATAAGCAATGTGTTAGCCACAATACTTCAGATGGAGAACCAAAATTTCCTAATGACCATGAATGATTTAGCTTACCTCGCCATTTCCAACAAGTTTAACTAATTCTTGCAGCTGCTCAATGGTTCCCATGTCCACAGCCTTAATGCGCTGTTGACGCTCATCTGCTAAGCGGCTGAATTTGGGCATCAGTTTTTCAGCTACCTCTGAGCACATAAACACTACACCTCCCTGTAAAGATAGGAAAAAGTATTTTATTAGGTCAAGTTATGAGACAAGCAGGACTTTGTTCAGAGGTAGCTGTGGCTTTACCTTGCTGAGGCACTGGAGAGATCTGTGCAAGCTCCTAGAGGTGGTGCCAAAATCAATGACGATATCAACCTCGCCATTGCAGGCATCCGTTGTGCGTTCAATGAGCTGACGTTCATAGAGATCCTCACTCCATTGAACAACATTAACACTGCAAAGGCAAGAAAACCCAAAGTTAGCATTGCTCTACATTTAACAGGAGATAAAGGATATCCACGACCGTTTAGGTGACTTACGTCTTAAACTCCTTGGCCATCAGGAAACCCTCATCCTTCAGGGAGGCAACAGTGAGCTGGACGCGCATCTTGGTGTCCTTGAAATGGTGCGACGCAATGCGCATGGCCCAGAGGGCGAGGCCGCCGGTGCCCACGATCAGGATCTTGCACACGCCATTCTCGCCGCGCTGGTGGAGGATGTCTTCGACGTACTGGTGGGCGTTGAAGACGGTGTTCATGGCGAGCAGGGCGCCCGTGGGCAGCATGGCAGCCACGGGCAGAGACACGGAGTCCGGGATCTTCACCAGGTACTTGAGCTCGTGCACGATGATGAACTCGGCGTATCCGTGAGGGACGCCGTCATAGGGGTAGAGGACGACGCGGTCGCCCTCCTGGATCGCGGCATTGTCCTCCACCTCGGCGCCGAGCGACTCGACGATGCCGGCGACCTCGTAGCCGGGGAACAGGGCGCCGTCGCGCACGCCGTGGTGGGCGGGGCTCTGGGGCATGTTGCAGGTCCCGCTGAAGCTGCCGGAGCTGCGGGGCAGGCTGCCCACCACCGAGCCGCCGAGCCCCTGGTCCAGGGACAGCTCCGTGCTCAGGCTGGACACGGAGCCCGTGCTCGACACGGACGAGATGGACGGCGAGCGGCGGATGCGGTAGCAAGCACCGGCGCACACCACCTGCGGGACAGAAGAGAGAGAAACGCGGTCAGACAAAGGACTTCCCCATTCCGTTGAGCAAGGCGGCGGGCGAGCGTGACCCGGCGACAGAACTCGTCCAAGGAGATCAACCCGTGAGTCAGGGCGGTGACGTCACGAGACACGCGAGCTTCTCTCGCACCCCCGCCGCGCAAGGGCTCCTGCCCTGCTCGGACGGCGCCGCGGGACATCCCCCTTACCCGCAGCGCCCCGGGGCCAACGGCGGCCACCTTTTCATTTCAGATACTCTCCCGCGCCCGCCGAGATAAGAGCACCAGCAGCCCGGCCAGGTGAGAGGAGGCCGTCGGGCCGCCCGGGACACGCGGGGACCACGTGAGCCCGCCGGGCCGGCGCGTGGCCGCGGAGGAGCGCATGTGGCATCATCACGCGGGACACTCTGGTAAATCGGGTCGGACAAAGATCGCGGCCGCAGGGCTTCAGGGTCGCAGGATTGGACTGGGTTCGGCTTGCGCCGCGAGGGGGTGCCAGGAGCGGCCGCGTCAGCCGCCTGCCCTGCAATTGGGTTCATCGCGATCCTCGAAAAAATGTGAGCCATCCTCGCCACGCAGTCCACGCAGCTGGTAGGTGGACTTTTTGAACAACCAAGCTGCCAGCCCGACCCCGAGGCCCGAAGGTGAGGGAAGGGGTGGAGAGGGTAGAGAGAGGCAAAGAGTGGGGCGGAGGGAGGGAGGGTGGGAGGAAGCGCGCCTTGGCCAGGACGTGGAGAGGGAGGGGAGGGTGGAGCAGCGCCACCCGCCGCCACGCCACGCCGGCGCATGCGCGGTGCGCTCGCTGTCCACGTGAACACCGAGTGATCAGCTGGTATTGATCAACGCCGGCAGCGCTGTGTTCACGTGCTCGTCAGCTGATCCAGGCTCCCTCCCTCCTCCTCTCCCTCTCCTCGCTCGCTCCTGCGGACCTCTGCGGCGCCGGTAGCACCTCGCGGCGGTGGCCCAGGTCCCACGGGCTGAGGACTAGGGGAGTCCTTCGTCCTTCCACGAGCTCAACGACGATGGCTCAGACGCGGTCCTCCGGTCCATAGCTGCTAGCGTTACCGGGGGCCAAAGCATCAGCCAGAAAAGGCGGCAACGGGACAGGCGGTCAGGACAGGCCCAACACGAGTTTGGTTTTCTTCTGACGGACTGAGAACCGGTCCGGCGCGCGGACCGACGCGGCCATCCGCATCCGTGGCCGGCATGGCCAGGACTCCGGGTCGAGGACTCTCGGTGCATTGCAAAAGGGACTCGCCCGCCGGTCAACCACCCCGCCCCGCCCAGGACGACAGAGGTACTCACCCTGATGCGGGCACCATTTGGAGGCACGTCGGGCACGGGCACCTCGAAGCTGAACACGCAGTCCTTGATGGTGGGCCCGGGGCTCTCGATGCTCACTTGGCGGCACAGCTTGTTCATGATGGGCGGCTTCCTCGGGGAGACGGCGGGCTCACTGCAAACACAAGAGGGCGACGGACGTCGGTCAGAGGAGGACGAGCAAGAAGAGGGAAGTACAGGAGTATGTAGCCGGCGCCCGCCATAGACACCTCGGCCTATCTGCCTGCCAGAGGGAGAGGGGTATCGCGGCAGACCCGGTGGCGCCTTCCCCTACCCCTACCCTCACCGGCAGCCTCACTAAACATTGGGCTCGCGAGTCCCGCCCCGCGGCCAGGAGAGAACGTTGCGCAAAGCTGGCCGAAGGGAAGGGGTGGTTGCAACACCCGCCACATCCCCGGCGGGGTGGGTGAGATATAATACCCGCCTTACAAATATTCTGGATGCCGAGCAAGCGGGCCAGAGCCAGCGCAGGGTGGGAGCTCTGGCTCTGGCGGACCGCTGCCGGTCGTGGGCCTGGCGGGACCGCGAACGGTACCCGCGGCCGCGGCCATGGCGGGCCGGGTGGGCCCCACGAGAGATAGAGGCAGGCGCTTGGCCGACTTACGAGGATTCGCCACCCCATCGTGTGTTGAGAATACACTACGTATGGCAGCTCGGCGACAATTGGCCTATCACCCCTGCACGGATGCCAGCCAGGGCTTTACACGACCTGCTGCACCTGTTCCGACGGACGCGTTCGAAAGATTCGATAGCCGCACGCAAATGAGAAGCGCGGCGGCGGCGCTGTTACACGGACGCGGCCCCTGGCAGCGGCTCGCCGCGGCCGCGAGTCTGAGAGATCGCGGCCCTCGCGACCCGCCGCATTGCGAGCGTCGCGGAGGAAGCAGGAAGAGAAAAGGGAATGTCGGAAGCGCGCGCGGGGATCGAACCCGCGATCGTATGCAAAGCAGGCCCGCGGCCTCGCCTTGAGCAGACGGCAACGGTGTCGCGCCTCCTTATCCGGGACACATTGGCGGACAGGTCGACCGAGGCGAGGGCACCGCAGCCGGAAGGGGCGCGCGGAAAACTCGGCTTCCGGTTCATACGTGGTCAGGGAGGGAAAGCCCAACTCCAACGGCGATTGGCCGGCCACGAAAGGCTCATCCGCATTTCTCTTTCACGCCTGCGCCAGAGGGGACTTCTGATCCTGCGCAAATGCTGCTGGTAAAGCCGCAGACGGCCGACAAACACGAGTAGAAAGCAGCACCCTTTCCGTGTTCTCGTTCGCATCAGAGTTGCGCTCGCTGGGCGTCCACGCCGCTCAGCAGGCCGCGCAGCCCGTCCAGCCGGCAGTGCGGCAACGCCGCTGCGGATGTCCTGGCTGCGGCCGGCTGCCTCCGCAGCGCGCGCCCCGCCCCCCGCAGAGCGCGGCGGAGCGACGGAGACGCCCGCCACTGTGTGTCTCCCTCGGACACAGACCCGAGGGCCCAGAGACGCCAGGCCAGAGGAGAGCAGCAGCGAAGTCGCCTCGCAAAGCTAGTCGGATCGGCTCAAAACAGGAGAAAAACGAGCAGACGCAGCACGCGATGATACATCCTGACGCGAAGGTGGTCAAGTTCAAGGATGTCGCCAGCCTGCCTGCCTGACCCACCACTGTCAGACAGTCAGACACCACACGACGGTTACCTGAAGCAGACGACCTCCAGGAGGGCGGCAACGACGACGACGACCGACGAGAGGGAACACTTTCACAAGACATACGCGTCGCGAGGAAGCGGGCGGAGCAGACGCCTAGTTCTAGTTCGACCAGGACGCACAATGGGCCAAAGCGAAAGGACAGCCTGCAGGCTGCGGGAGTCTGCGTGCCTTGTCTGTCTGGGCTGGGCTCTGCGATGCGACTGATGCGTGGGAGTGACTGAGTGACTGAAGAGCGGGCGAGACAGCTAGAGCGGAGGGGAGGGCCTGGTGGGTGGGGGCAGAGAGGGCCCGGTCGGAAAGGGCTCGGGAAAAAATGTTAACACTCGTTCAAAGAGAATGGCCGAGGGGTGAGAAACACCCGACAAGTTTCGCTCACGCCCTTTCCAACGCAGCCCTTCGGCCTCTCTTGCTTCTGCTGATAGCCCCTGCGTTCAAACACGCGTAGAAATGGAAGGCTCGACCTGCACGCCTCACCTGTAGCGCTTGTTGAAGTTGTAAGGGGTGGCTGCGTCGATCTCGACAGGCATGATGGCGAACTGGAATATCCTTTAGGGCGACGAGACGTTGGAAGCGGGCGGTTCAAATCAGAACCAAAAGAAGTCGACACACGAATCACTTCTCGGCACAGAAACACGACAGCGCGAAGGCTGCTCTGGGGAGCACCACAAGTCCAAAGTGACACTTGTCTTCTAGTGCACTGCAGGGGCTGAATTCTCTTCCGACGGGTCCGCAGCTGCAGTTTCACAGGACAGGCACATGCTAGTGGAGCACTCACGGGGTAATGCTGGACGGCGGGCCCTCGCCGCTCTTATAGGCGGGCGCAGCGCCTCGGCCCGGC